AGCTTAAACAAACACATTTTAAGATCTCCTGAAATGTTTTAGAAGAAATAATGATAGCAGCTCATCTAATATAATAGCAGGATTATATGGGAACTCCTGAGAATCAATTGAAATGGGAAATTATTACTTTCTGTGTTTCAGTGTCCGATAAGAATCTCTATAATTAAGATAAAATTTATGTGATAAAAAGAGATAAACTGGCATACTGGCATTATATGCTTATAGGAAACATATCTTATTTAATTGATTAAAATGAAGTCTTTTCAACAGACTGTTTCATTTCAATCCAAGATGACATCTTTTGCATGAAAATTCCAATCCTCAAAATATTTCTTTAACAGCCTCTTTTTCAGAGGATTTAATGCCACCCATCTTCTTATAAGACATTACAACATAACGGATAATTCATTTACATTTCTGCTAATACAAAATGAAAAAAAACCCTCATATAAATGGAAGATACAAACAATTAAAATCTAAAAAGTACTTATTCACTGTTTCTGTTGTAGCTTCCACATGATGCCAACTTAGTGGTAATGAGTATTGATGTAAAGCAAGCTACAATTTCCCAGACAAATAATTAAGAAAATTCACTATAAAAATACAAATTCCAGGCTGTATTGTGTACTGTGATATGCACTCCAGATCTGAAAAATTCCTTTTCCATTAGACAAGTTACTATCCGTATGCCAAGATAAATAAGAGCTCTGATAGATGTTTCAAATGAGAGTCTCATTTGTCACTTATCCAAATATTACAGAACGGAAGAGTATAAAAGTTTTAGGATAGACTCTTACATCCAGTAAAAAAAACAACTGAAATATATTTAAGATTCCAAACCACTACAGGGGAACAATGTGGATACCTGTATAACTGTACAGTTACCAACCAGCAAAGAACGCAGGTGGTGTTTGATTCTGACCAAAGAGCGTCGAAAACTTAGATTTAAAACCATAAAAGAATAATCTTTGCTTTAGTAAGCCAAGGGGATCCAGTGAAGCCTTTCCAGATGGAATTAAACAAAATCTTGGATATAAGACTCAAACAGAGATATCACAATGCAAATAGCAGGCTCTGTCCTTATAAAGAACATCTGTTGTGAAGTTGTTTACATTCCTACCAAAGTGGAAAAGGGTATGCTAATGCTCCATTGCAGCCAGGCAAGTTAAGGGGGAATACAAAGTTACTTCTTAGTGGTGTTTAATAAACACACAGAGCTTTTCACTAACTCACTGTTTTGTCACCTGAAAAAACAAATAGGAATTTGGGGCAAAAAGAAACTTTCTCATTTCTCTGTATCCATTTCCATAGAAGTTGTGAGGGGTTTATTTCTAAATTTTCAATTATTTTATATTTTATTATGTGAATTTGTAGTTTATTTCCTTCCTTTTACAAGGAAGAAACAGGGTGTTTATTCATGACTCTCTTGGTGAGCAGTCTAATAGAAACTGAGACCTTCCAGCCTGTGGGACAGCAGTTTGCTCTCCCTCTTCCAGAGATAAAAACTAGACTGTTTTCAGCCTGAGTTCCTCAGGAAATTTGAGATAGGTCATAAATTATAGGTTATTCCTGCATCTTAATATTCCCCTTCCCTGTTTTCCTGCTCTAGGTTTCAGTAGTTGAGTTCTGGTTTTGTTATTTTTTTCCTTCCGTTTCTTTTATTAATAGGAACTCAAATATACTCAAACAGAAACCACCAAGAGGTTGTTCTGCTCCTCCTGTGCCTCCCCCATTCCACCCGTCCCGGGAGACAGGCAATGGAAGAGACAGAACAGCTCCATCCTACCCTGCCATGCAATGGGTGGACCGTCAGAGCAGGAGAACCACGACACAAAATGTTCTTGATTTACATTGAAAACACTTTATTTTATGTTACCAGCTTACACTGCTTGCTGAATTTTAACAGCGAAGTTTTAAATAGTAGAGCTACAGCCTTGATTTTAAAAAGTGACACTGTAAAATGAATTTTTAATAAGTCTGTGATTTTTTTATGCATACTTGTGACAAATAATTACTGGGTTTCTACTATTTGTGTTCTCTCTCTGATAGCATTGCTGCTTAGCGCTGCATTCCAAGTGGTTAGTGAACTTCCTTTCTTTTTTTTCCTCAATACATGTACACACACAGACACACAGATACGTTATTTCCCATAAAAGAAACAGCACTTCAGCACTGGACACAAAATGACAGTGGCGAATTTATGCCACGGAATATTTTGGCTTTATTCCTTCATGTAAGGTAGAAAAAACTTACTGCGAAAATAGATGTCAGATACAAAGACCACCAACAGGAAAGGGAGACCAGAGAGATGTAGTTTGGTAAGAAGGTTTGCTATAAATAAAGCATTTCAAAAGTAAACAGTGTAGTTTGTATATGGAAAAATAATACTAACAACGCTTAAGACCAAAAGAGGACATTTATTTGTAACTATAATCCTACAATTTCTAGCTTTTACTATACATTTTTTATGGTGAAGACCATATTGCATCATCTGACTTTTACCCTGCTGCTTCTTTACTTTTGCCTCTTTAATTTTTGTCTTTTAGAAAAACAATTTTTGAAACAATCTGAGCACATATGATTTAGAAATAAATTACAGTAATGATTTTTTATACTGACTTGAAATTACAAAGAAAATCTTTCTTTTCTTCTTCCTACACAAACTAGAGAAGAAACTTTTAGAAGAAACTTCACTATTAGCACAGCAGCCTGATTACAAAGGGCAATTACTAATTTTGAAGAACACTAAAAAGACATGACCTGATTACAGCACAGTGATTAAGATACAGATATAGATTAAGATTAGGATGTACTGATATGACCGAGAGAATGAAATTAAAGTCACCTTTCTAACAGCTAGTGATTTAGAAGAGATCTTATACTTGGCAAAAATTGGAGTTGAGTGAAGGTAATGCACATTTTATTTTCATTCTGAAACATTCAGGTTCATGCTATCTCATCCATTTTCATGGAAGTCAGGCCTTGATCCTAATTCTGAAATCACTTGTATATGTTTCACACATGTGGTTCAATTTACATAATCCTGAGTTTTTATTATTTTGAGTTATTTACCATGTAAAAATCAAGCACATGGTAAATAGCTGAAGGAGTCAAAAGCTCTGAAGCTAAAGTCAAATACATGTCCCATTTTGAACTTTTTTGGCCTCTGAAGGAAACTCTTACAGAACTGTTAATCTTGCTGAATGGTCATTCTCAGACAGTGAGAAGTACAGTTGGAGTCAGACTCTTCTTTCTAGGGAGAGCAGCTCCTTTGCCATAATTAGAGGCACTGAAGCACCCTCCACAAAACACAGTTGTTCCTTTAATAAGTGAGACTGAACACTATCCCAGCCTACAGCAGCTTTCTCAGTTTGAAACACAAAAGCAGTCAAGTCTCAAAAACTTCAAAGAAAGCTTTTCATTTTATTTTCTCCTTGATCCCCTGATAGAGCAGTTCATTTTCTTGAATTTTGTAAAATGACTTTTTCACTCATCAGACCTGTGTAACAAATCACTGTCTCAGTCACCAAATGTTCCTGTTTGACTCATCCGCCTTTCCTTTGGCCTTTGGGTAGGAAGCTTCACTTCTGAAACATTTTCTAAATTCACTTTTGTGAACTCTTCTCCCTCAGTTGCACTTTGTTCCATTTTAAAAAATAATTGCATTTCCTGCAACATAATGTGCTAGTTTCAGGGGTTTAAATTTCATCAGAACCCACATTTTCTTTCCTAGATAGAGCAATGTCTTTCCTTTTAAAAGCACCATTTTATCGCACACTATCAGCTATAACATAGCACCTTTTAAGCAGTAAATGCTATAGCACAACATTTTTCCAGAATTCTCAGTTTCAGTCTGCTAACTTAGAACAGCTTTTTGATTAATAAGACATTTGTACTCTCATGTATATTGTTTTGCTTTTGATGGTCAAAGATTTTCTCTTTCTAATTTCTGAACTTTGCTGCAGCAGTCTATGCTAAGACAGTATCTCCTCTGAGGAAATGTCTATAACAATACAGGAATGTCAATAATCCTAATCTTTTTCAATGTTAAAAAGGCTGGAAATCTATAAAGTTCCATTCCTTCAGGCTTTTTCTGCCTCAAAGCAAATAGGCCAACTTCACTTAGTTATTCCCTGCAGAGGGTGTAGTCAATCCTTTCCAAGATGAAGAAGCAAACCCTGTAATAGGAATTATATTTTCAACCAGGTACTTACATTTCAAAGTATATCAAGTAACATACAAACCAGAGCGTTACAGGAACTCCAAGCAGAGTAAACATACGCTCCAGAAGAGCGTAGAATGGGCTGTGTTGTGATCTTTGATTGCTGGGACTAACTGGAACAGAAACTCTGCCCATTTTACATTCATGGTGAAATGCAGCCAAGCTGAGTGTGATCCCTGTAAGTTCTATGGAGTCAGATTTACCTTGTTCTTCTGTGTGATAGCAGATTTTAGCCTACTTCCTTAGCTGCTCAGCTTAGACATCAATCTTCAAAAGATAAGTAAATCTGAGCTGATGCAACTTTTAGAAAGGACAGTGATCACTTCATAGAAAAAGGAAAGGGTAAAGAACAGCTTCTGGACAACAGAAAACCAGAATAAAGCACATGTTCCCAGAGAAATAAAGAAGTCAGAGCTGTTTGATCAAAACTCCCCAGATGCTGAACCAGTTTCACAGATGTGCCCAAGTTTGACATGATTCAGTGTCACCTGGTTTTTCCCTCAACAATTATCTTCCTTCTCCTGCCCCTACTGTAGTTTCCCTGCCTGCTCGTTTCCACTCACTGTTTCCCACCCGGGCTGCCCCAGGCAATCACCCACATTTCCCTCTGCCCGAGGTTCCCTCTCAGTCCCCTGTTTTCTGCAGCCTTCACCTCCCCTTGTGTCCCCTCTTCCCCCTCAGCCATGTCCCGTCTGCCCTGGTCGCTCCCTTCTGTTCGCAGCCCCAGGGAGGCGGAGGCCGAGGGCAGCGCGCTGAGGGCAGAGCGCTGAGGGCAGAGCGCTGAGGGCCGAGCGCTGAGGGCAGAGCGCTGAGGGCAGGGCGCTGAGGGCAGGGCTGTGGCCAGACCCAGCCTCACCTTCCTGCGGGCACCGCAGCCCTCACCAGCCCGCCCTCACAAAGGCAGCACGGGCTCCACGAGAAGGCAGAAATGAACCTGGATGCTTTGTTCCAGCAAATACAGTTCACAGAGAAGCAGGCGAGGGAGAAGAGGCACTTCATCCAGCAAGGTCGGCCCCGTGGCCGCCGTCCTGAGGGGCCGGCGACGGCACCGACCGCCCTGAATGGCCTCTCCATTCCCAGGGTGTCCTGAGGGGCCTTGTGTCAGGGAAAGCCGGGGTGGCCGCTTCTTGCTAATGGCATGTTTCTGTAAGAATGTAACTTTTACAAACCGAGTAAACATTCTTACAGGTTTTTGTTTGTTGTTGCAGCTAAATGTGACATAAACAGAAGCTATGAAAAAATTAACCAAATAAAGGAAGAGCTGAGCGCTGCAAAAGTTAACTTAGAAACTAAGGTAAGCAGGCATATTTAGAGTGTACATAATAATGAAATACATTATGTTTACAAATATATGACCTTTCAGGAATAGATTCATAAGCACTTTCAAGGAGTGTGCTTCACTTGCTGAGTAATACAGCATTGAGAAAACTTACACCGCACATTCCTGTAGTGAAAAAAGGGTCTGTCAACATCCTTCCTCTCACAAATCTCACCCTTTGGGCTGGCCCCTGGTTGTGTTCAGGGACTTGCTCGGCTCAAGGTTAGGAACGTTTCCAGATAATGCTTCCAAAATCTGGAAGCTCTAGAATCAGGACATGTGCACAGGTAAGTCACTCCTTCTCCACAGACAGAGCTTGGCAAGGAGGACATCACCATGGACAGGTCACTGCATGCACAAGATAGGCCACCAGCTGTGGGCAGGCTGACTGTTGGGGTGTGGTGTGAGATTTCCTGCTTTAACAGTCCTGAAACTTGTTACAGCATTTCCTTCAGTGCCCAAAAGGCATTTTTTGGTTGCCTGATGTGTTTCACTAACAGCCTTCCACAGGAAAAAATGTATGGAAACATTCCCTGTGTTTACTTCACAGGACCTTGAATCGTACACTGAAGACCTTTCTGTAAGCCCAGGCTCACAGTTAAGGCTTACAAGACCTAAGGTTTTTTCTAAGGATGCCAAAGACAGAGGAAAGTTTCTAAATCTATTTAGTGATTTTATTACTCTTTCCATTTAATCAGACTGCAGATGTATTTTCAGATTAAGCTTCCAGAGCTTTTCACCAATAACACCTGTAGTTGCAAATTATTTGAAAATCCATTTGCTTCTGTCTGAAAAATGAAGTTTAAATACCATCCCTGGTGCTCTTAAGTGTCTGTGGTGACAGAATATGTATTCACAACAGGGAAGGATTTGGAGCCTCCTTTGAAGTCAGAACTGTTGTATCCTATCACTTAAATAAACAACTTCAAGAACATTGGGGGGATTGCCTCACCTAGTTGTGAAAATAAATGTTTGGAGGTTGATTTTCATCCTTCCAAACACAGGCTCTTCTGCCTTTTGTAAAGGATTATGTAGTATATATAATAAATATCAACATTACTGATCAAAATAAAAAAGAACTCATTTACAAATATTTACTACTTGTAAATTCAGACTATAATCATGCAAGCAGTTATTCACGTGCTCACATTTATGCATGTAACGATCTCAGAGCCCAAAGGTGCTTTAAAATAGTAACTTATTTAGCCAACACAGATTATATCTGGATATTGCTTGTTAGGTGAAGTCCTCTGTAGTCTTACTCATAAATTTATTTATGAACATTACAATTTTATGTTTATACTACTAATTTGTTGTTGATGCAGTGTGATTTATAATCAAGGTTCATGTGGTAGGTTATAGAAGATCCCGAGAGTAGAGCCATTATTGTAAATGACTAATGGGAAGAGCTGAAGAACCATTCCTAATTAAATTTTATGTGCTTTACTGACCAGGATTAATAATATTCTCACTGATGTCCACAAAAATATATTTAGCTTGCTTGCTTAGTCTGACATTGATTAATTTATAGATAGGAAATGATAGAGAAAAGTAGTGGAATAGGAAAATACATTTCAATCAGACTGTATTTAGGTTTAAAGATTATATAGTTATGGACATTATTTAAAGTAATTTCTTTTTCAGTACAGGAATCAGGTTTACATATGTCTACAATAGTTCATGCAATTCAAATAATATTAAATAATGCTGTTCAGCTAATGCTGTTCAATTTGTCCTGAACAAAATAACTGCAGTTCTTTATAATCAGACATATCCAACCACATGCATGCTCAGCAGCTGATGCTTGACCAAGCAGATGAGACTGAGTTCAAAGGTTTTTTGACATCTATTTCACAGACACTGCCTGTGGTCAATCAAAGAGTCCTAGGAAGTGCAATTTTTCCCTCTTTTCTGTAAAATCAGGTAGCATGTAATTAGAACCCGAATTATAACATTTTGCAGTTCATAGCTCAATGATTTCTTTAAAAAAATTGGTTGCAAATGCATAGATTAAGTTGGCATCTTACAGAAGGAGCAACTACACTGCAGCTAGTTACCTTCAATAATACAAATACAGTGGTATAAGACCATCTACTCCTTTGAATTAATATGTAAAATAAATTCTCCTGAGGCAAGCACTTCCTGGACACTTAGCATGCTGGACATATCAGGGATAAGGAAAAACTCTGGTCCTTTCCTTCCCAACTCTCACATTCTGATCTTAGGGCATTTTCATTCCACTATCCTCCTGTTTTGATCAGATGCACTTGATCTGTGCCCTCTCCAAAATCATCTACATTGTTTAATTTTAAAATCTTTTCACTTTTACCACTTTAATACCACTCTTATTTGGTCTTTTCTGCTTCTACACACACAAACAGTCACGTTATCAGCCTGACTATTCAATTTACTTCCTGATACTTACCCTGTGCCTTTACAGTCTGTGGGCACTTCTGCTAACTTTACTTTCCCTATTCATTGCTGAGTATTACAGTCTGAGTCATGCTCTTGACTCACTTCAAGAGAACTTCATCAGATGAATGGTTTTCATCCTTTAAGACTCTTCAACACTTAACTGTTTTCTATTTATCTGTTATTATAGTTTATTCCACCATGTAACTTAACTTAGGTTAGATGATATAGTAGATGCGCTGGAAAATTGAGAAGAACTCCTCAGCAAATTTTGAAAATGTAGTGGTTGAACAGCATACTCTTCTGTCAGATAAATTAATGGTTAAAAGTAATAAAACTCAAAATAAATCTATATGCAAAATTGAAGTTTGGGGCTTTGGGTGGTTATGGTCAAACTGTCTCTAATCAATGAGCTGATTTCCATTACACTTTCTTGGCTAAAAATTCCAGAAATATTGCTCAGAAAAATATGAGCTTATCCCTCCTTCCTTCACATATGCCACAGTGGCATTGCAGAGTTGGTGACATGTACAGCCATTCAGTCAAAACTACAGTGTTGGACCACTGTCCCTCTAATATTATTGTCTGATTTGGGAGATGATGAACTTTACACAGTTAGATGGAGGACACTGTCCTGTGTTGCATAAAAGATCCCATGTGGTCAAGACTTTCCCTGGTTTTAACCTGAAAAAATATCTCCTGAATCAAGCAGACTTTAAATTGCCATTCTAGATAGACAGACCACCACTAAATGTCTCCTTTAAAGAAAGAAGATTTTGAAAAGCTTCGTGGTATCCTGCAAGATAAGTGGGGGGTAAAAGAAAGAGCTGTTATGGTTTTGCTAGTCCAGCAGCTAGGGCAGCTGTGTTTTAACTGTACAATATCAAAGTATATGAAACAATAAAACAATAACCTTACTTCCCAACTTTTTTTTTTTTTCTCTTGGAAGGTTCAGCAGCTGTCTGAAAAGCAGTTCTACTTAGAAATTCTGAAGAAACGTGAAGATAGCTTAGAAAAACAGAAAGCTGAACTTATTAATCAAAAAAGCAGTCTTCTTAAAATCTTGGTGTGTTTCCAGCTATGGTGTTCAGAGAGCTCTTTTCTACTCGGCAAGAGCAATCACCTTTAAAATTTGAAAATCTGGAAGACCTAATATTCTAAATCAGGAATTTTTTTTTTGCTTTAGCTTATATAAGAATGTAAATGTAGATAAATTATCACTTTTAATTTATGCCACGATCTAAGGTAGTGTATGCTGCAGTTTATCTACAAAGCTGATTTAACCTTCTTGACTTCGTTTTCTAATGTCTCCTGCTGTATGACTGAAGTCCAATTCTGATAGATTATTTACTCTTAAAAGTAAACTAGGAAAGCCTCACCTTAAGTTGGGTTGGCTCATCCACAATCAAACAGATTGAGAAGGATCAAAGGAAAAACCCAGGGAGGCCCACACCATGTTTTAGCAATCCTGACGTGCCACACAATCTCTGATGGCAGACACACCCAACCACCTCTTCAAAGGTAGCTACTTACAACAGACAAGAAGTTTTTCAGTTCTCTCATATGCCAACCTGAATATTGCCTCCCTCTTACTTCACTGTGCATCCTTGGATCTGTACGAAGGAAGAAATGCCAGAGGAGTAGTCTTCTCTGTGTATGTATCTGCACTTTAAATGTTCAGCAGAGCTAAATTTCAAATGTTCAGTCCAAATCACCGATATTAACCCTAAATCTTTAGGCAGATATTTTCTTAATTGAGTAATACTTCTGCAGCACCCAAAGTATTCCCAATATATGTGTGAAGTTTCTTTTAATTGGAGCCAGTCAAGTTCGATATATGGGTTATCATTTCTTTTTTCCTGTATATAGGGGACATTTCACTTTATTTGACTTAGCAATCAATTAGACTTCTTAAAAGAAATTGAATATAACCTTTCTTGTTTGAATGGGTCTTTTTTTCCAGAAAATTAAACAGTAATTTCCTATCAACTATAGCTTTCTTAGTAGTTATTGAGGGAGTTAAAGGAAGTCTGAGTTCTGCAGAGGAATAAACACCTTGATTTAAATTAATAACAATCTAAAAAAAAGGAACAGCCATGCTAGGCTACAGACTTTAAACAGAACTTTCTACTAACTTCAGTAAAATAGTTGAACCAAGTAACTGTTGGTGCAATTCTGGAAGATAAGGTAGCGATTTTTAACATGCTTTGTTATTAAGAATATATCCTTCATTTTTACAGGGGAAAAAAAAAGTTGAAACAACAGACATAATGGTAGAGCTGTAGACCATTTTCATGTTCTTATAAGTCAGGAAATTATTTACTTTTACATTTATTTACTTTTGGTTTTTTATTTATATTATACTACAAATTTAACAACAGTGTGTTTCAGTCTGCCTAGCCTAACAAAGACTTCCTTTTTTTTTTTTGCACCTGAACATTCAATATTCCCTTTCTTTTTTTCAGACAGATGCAAAGAGAAAAATTGCTGAAGAGGAAGATAATTTTACCAGAGAAGTAACAGAGTTTAACAATGAATATGGACTAACAAGAAATAGAGATCTTATGATTAAAAAAAAAGTCAAGACTGAAATAAAGGATTTAGAGAATGAGGCAGCGCTGCTGAAAAATGGTAAGCCTTATATTAAACTAGTGTATCTTGGATTAATACAAATCAATAAAATATAACTATGCAAACCAGCACTTTTAATTCCATTCCCTTGCAGAAGGGTCTCCTGATGTCTAATGTCAGCCAGCATAGAGGTGCTCTGTCATAGATAGTGACTGGTTTTGGTTAGAATCCTCTATGGAAGAGTTCTGTACATGTCCTTAGCTTCAAAAGAATTGCACACACAAATGTCTTGCAGTAGAACTTGATCTTTAAGACACAGAGTATGAGATCTCTCAGAACACAGGGTCAGACTTAAAAGCAGTCCTTCTGCAAGGAAATAGGGGTCGTCATGGATCACGAGCTGAACATGAGTTAATGACATCAGAATGCCAACACCACACTGAGACATAAACATAATTCTGATCTCTAAGACATGGAAAATAATTTTTCACTCTATTTGGGGCAGTTAAGCTCTTAGCTGGAGTACTGTGCTCCTCGTTTTGATGTTAAACTCTAAGAAAAGATGTGGACCAGCTGGAGAGAATCCACATGGGACCAGTGAGAGTGATCAGAGTTCTGGAGCACATGAGAAAGAAGAAAATGAAAGAATTGTGACTATTTAACCTATTAAGGAAAAGATTGATGAAATATGAATATCAGTCTTCAAATTATTAAAGGATCCTGTAAAAAGGAAATTAATATATTCTGCATATCTATAGTGAACTGAATAAAAAGTAACAAGTGTAAAACACAATAAGTGAGAGTCTGTCTGACTGTTTAGAAGTCTTTCCAGGAACAATGAACTAAAACACTCTGCCCTAGGAGATTCCATTATCAAAGGAATTAGGGGTCTTCACTATCAAAGGTCTTTAAAAACAGGATAGACAAGCATCTGTCAGAAATGGCAGAGGTACAGCTGATCCTGCCTTCAGGAGAAGGAATGCAGTAGATGACCCCTCAAAGTCCTTTCCAGTCTCATGATTTGTCAAACACCAGCACTTCCAATTCCTAATATCTGCTGTAAAGTTACTGAAATGGGACTATCCATTTGAGTCTGCACTTGGTAGTACCTTCTTTCTTATTTCTTGTTGCTCTGATTCTAATCTACAACTGAAAAAAGTCTGTATTTGGTGGCAAGTGCTACTCTTAGCAATTAATTTTTACATATTCAGACAGATCTGGGCAGTTAAATGATTAGTAGGACCTGAAGGGGGACTAACATTCTTCTCTTGGTTCAGTTGCTGTCTTGATTCCACCCTTTATTTGCACCTTTTTTGAGGTACAATTTCCTGTCTTTGGTCTGCTACAGTCCTGAGCACAGTGACAACACTGGAGTGAAAAGTTTAACTCTTAACATGGGAATTATGCAAGGACCTCCAGTTGTTAGAAAAACAATCACAATTCATTCCAGATGCTGTCAATAGTCAGGCTCAACGTCCTGCTGAGAGGTGTCTGTTCTCCACCTATTCAACGAGTCATCTTCCTTTCTTTATAGCTGAAGTAACTCTAAAGCAAAACATTCTTTTTCTGCCCAGACAACAAAATATGTTGAACATCTTAATAACAATAAAACCCATTTTCTTTCATAGGTATGAATGCACTGTATGACCTATAATTTCTTGTGAATTGTGTTTTATATGACTGATTTTAGTTTATTTTTGTTTTATATTCAAGGTTCTTTTTCACTAGCTGAATATTGATAGAAGTAGTTAAGAATATTTAAGATTGTATCATGAATGCTAAAACTGTAATGTATTTTAATTTAAATGTATTTTTTCTTAGAAATGGAGTCAATGGAACACAAAAATGTTCAGTTAAATGCACTCCAGCTGCAGAAGAATGAGTTAAAGCAGGATTTATTTACTCTCCAAAGTGAACTCAAAGGTGTGCCTGATAATTACTCGCTATGATAATTACTTCTGCTTGACAAAGGCTTTTGAAAAATCTTTTCAGTCAAGTTTCTTTTCTCAAGAAAAAGAAATCATAGTAACAAGATTTTAATTAATTTTTACAATATGTAATACATAATTTTAAACATGGCTATAATAAATATTATGGATTTCAATGAGATTTATTTTGAATGCCACTGATACTGAGGTCTAGAGATTCGCTGAATCATGAGCTATAAATATAAAAAAGAAATATTTGCTTTTGCTGGTAAGTCATGTACTTAAATGGAGAATTTGGTGTTTCTAAGTGCACTTAAAATCAATATAAATATTGTTTTAAACCCATTAACCTATAATTAAAGAATATCACTAAAATTGAAATGTTTTAAAAGCAGTGTGGCTTGGACTGAGAAAGACAGGTTTGTCCTGGGTGCTAAACCTCTGAGTCGTAAATTCAACTGTCTTCTGTTTACTGACATTTGTGTGTTCTTGTATGGAAGTCTGTGCATAAAAAAGGACATCCAGGAGGGGTGTCAAGTACTCAGCAAACTCTATAAAATGAAAAGATAAAAAGATACAGAAGGAACCACAAAAAGTTCTGTGTCAAAGGTGATCAGAGCAATAGGAATAATTTTGAAATCTGAATTAAAAAACGTAATCTAGAGCCTTTTAGTAAGCTTTTTACAAATATATAAGTAACATGTCACAGTAAGAGCTAAGGAAAGCAGTAAATGTGATCATAAATTGTTTGAGAAAGGGAGTGAAACTTTCCAGATTGCAATATGCAATTGCAATAATAATAAAATAATTCATGTTCTTTATTTAGATGCCTTTTCCCTTCAAACAGTTGCATGAAGAAAGAAAATATAAATTTAGAAAATGCAGAAAGTCTTTGAATATGGATGATTAATATATATTTATAAAGTGATTCTAATTTCATGTTTAGACCTTGAGAAAGTAATCAGGGAGGCTGAAAGAATGACGAAAGATTTAGAAGCAGAAAAAGTCCAAGTAACTGAAAAACCTCAGACTGATCCTGAATGTTTAAGGTAAGAGTCTCGTGTTAATGAGTTCCTAAATTTGATTTTAGACCTGTAACTGCAGACCAATCCTGGTGGCAATGACTATTTTACCTTTCCTGTACAATATTCCTTTGAAATCAGAAGAACCATTCATTTTTTATTAGAGAAGACAAATTCCTGCTGTTTATTACAGCATTTCACACTTACATGCATGCTCAAAGGAACTAAAAATGGAAGAGTTTGCAGGGATGTCAGTCAGACTTGGAGGAAGAACAAAAGACTGCTGCTTCCACAGGGTGGAAGACCAATTCTTAAGTTCTTGCAAAAATGGTGGTGGTGCACAAAGTACTGATGAAGTGCCCGTGCTAAACGCATCCCTGCTGATGGGCTGCACAGAGCCCGCTTGCAATGGGATGGGTTGGCCACAGTCACCTCCTTGGGTCAGCTGGGCCCTGTGTTGAAGCTACTAAATGCAGATTTTTCTCTCTGATCTCTTATCAGTTCCAGTTTGCCTTCCAATTAAGCCAGTTTAGATCAAAATTTTGAAGACTTAACCAAGACACAAGACCTTGCACAGTCTCCCTTAACAGTGACTGTTGCTTCTTGGGAACTGAGTGGTAATGACTCATTTCTTGTCAGTTTGCTTAAGTGAGACAATTAGATTTTCACTTCACAGAAAATAATGTAATTTTCTTTTTAAAAAAAGATTCCAGTGCAGAAAGCCCCATATCACAGAACTGTCCATCTTTTTTCTGTCTTATGATGTTCCAGATGAAAGTGCCTGTGGATATTTAAAAATATTGAATAGGCAATGCAAAGAAACTCCCTCTGGAAAAGCTGGTCTGAAAGATTCTCTAACAGAAGTTGTTAAGGAAAACATAACTGTTATTACCATCGTGGGTTTTTTTCCTATATATTGCTAAGCTTTTGACAAAAATAAATAAATGTAACGTGGGTTTTTTTTTCTGAAAACTTTCAGTGGAAAGTTATAACTTTGCAGAGAACCCTGAGCAATTTTCTGAAAGACGATTTGGTAATGGCCCATTTTTTGCTGAATATCGGTTTTTGAAAGAAAATGATATATCAGCCCTATTACTAACTCTCTTCAACCTCTTACGTGGTGTTGAGACATGGCCAAAATTCCCTCAGCATAAAAATTAATTAGCTCACAATCCTGCATACAGCAGCAAAAAATTTGCATTCAACATATACATAGAAGACTCAGTGTAAATAATAATAGCAGCAGCGATTCTTTAGGACAGCATGTTATAATTCACTTGTTTACATTATTCATTCAATCGTGATATATTAGGGTTTGTGATACATGAGGTTGTCACCTTCCTTCTAAATAACAGACTTCCCTTGGAGTAGTTTACTGCCATGATGCCACTGAATATTGAAATTGGTGTAATTAGTTTTCTGTAACAGGTTTCCTTTGTGTAAGGTACAGGAGTAACAAACATTATGTTACTTCAAGTTCCCAGCTCTGCCACTGAGATCCTAGGGATCAATCAAATCCATATATGTCTGCCTTTCTATGTAGTGAAAGTAACTCACAGGTCTGCAGAACGATACTTTGGTGTTATCTGGGTGGAAAACGTGGATAAAACATATTAAATTCTATTAACTGCAAAATCAGCAAGTGCCATTTACAACCAAAGCAAGAAGGAGGATGATATTTTCTTGTTTAATGAAATGCCTTCTTTTGTGGTCAAGATAAGATTACATTATTTGATAATTGCATGTAGTGCAAAATATAAACTGCTGCTGCTGCTATGACTAATATCACAAAATGCAAGAGATTCTTGAAGTGTAATAATATATTGAATACATTTTCTTTACATTGAAATACTTTTTCATTTCAGATACTGGAAAAAATTTAGGACGGATTTGCCTAAATCATACTTTTATCTTGCACTTGCTTTTGATCAGAAAAGCTCAGTGCTTTATAGAGAGAGAGATAGCCCTGAATAAGTTAACTCAAATGCCAGAAGCAACATAGATATGCTACTGTACTTCCATGTCAGCACTAATAGATTCTGCTTTTCTGTAGAGCTAGTCAGGCAATCCTCATTTGTCTACCTCTCTCTGTCATAGTGCTGTGCTCTTTAGAATCATCCCAAACTCTTATCAGGCTCATACAACTCTAGCAATTCTTTTTTGCTTTCACTTCTTTAACATAACCCACCCATCACTTCTTGATTTGGACTACTGAACTAAGAGAATGAAAGAGGGGCTTTAAAGTATTATGTGCTATAAATATTGCAGTATATAAATAGTCCCCCAGGAGGTACCTGATCAGTACCTACAAGGATATCATCAAGAAGATGGAGCCAGGACCTGCACAGTGCTGCACAGCAGGACAACAAAAGGCAAAAAGCAGAAGTTGAAACAAGAAGATTTAGCATGAATTTAAGGAAAAACATTTTTATCATGAGGACAGTGTAAGCAAAGGAAAAGGTTGGCCAGAGAGGTTGCATAGCTTTCATCCTTGAAGGTTCTCCTTGAGATATATGCATATACCAGTGTATATATCTTAACAGGAGTCAATTTTGGCCATGTTAAAATCAATGTGATTGAACCTACTGTGTCAGAGAAACAACCCTTTTTAGCCTAACAAGATTAGGGTTTTTTCCCCATACAAAATTTACTGCAAGAATAGAATTCTAGTTTTTGCTGAAAATCACTTTTATTACATATAAAGATGATAATATTTTGGCACAAGTAATGTGGATCAAAAATACATATTTTTTCTATGAAATAAGCACAAAATTTGATTCTCTTTTTACAGAGCTGGAAAGCACATCACTCTTTAAATGGCAAAAATACCAATGTTTTTAATGCTTCCTTAGAACAAATGTGAGAGACAGGCAGCATCAATAACCTGATATATGTAGCTCCCTGATCACCCTGCAAGTCTGTTACTGTATCACATTCCTAGTTCCAGCTTAAAAATCAATATCAAAAGTAGCTGGCAAGGCAAGAATCTTCATTACAATTAAGTATATATCTAAAAGTAAATTGTGTTTCAGTGTAGCCAGCTAATTCAAATTACAGCAATTCATCTTTGATCTGAGAAAAATGTCCTATACCACGTCTGCAGTTTCATAAAATTTCTCTCAAATCCATCAAAGAATTACAAAAGGTCATGGGAAACACACACGGGTAATTCTCAAAGCTGTTGATGCTGCAGTTAGAGGCTTGTTTTAATGCACACCAGGTACAGAAGAAAGGTAACCAAAATTTGAATGTTAAGCACAGATACAGTTATGGGTAAGACACTGTACCCTCTTACTCAAAGCAGGCACTCTGGACAATGCCAGTGTCAAGATACAGGCCCATAATTCAGAGAAATATTTAAGAAAAGAAGGCTTTTTTTTTTTTTCCTGAAGAGATCTGCAATTAAGATCAAAAGCTTTATTTTAATCATCTTTTCTGCCAATGCCAACCCCAAACACAAAACAGCAGGAAAGAACTTTGGCATCAGCTCTCTTGAGTCCCATTTCCCTGGCAGGTAGCAAGTAGCATCACTTGAGTGGAACAACTCAGGAGTCAAGCAGAGACTAACTGATACCAGTAAATTCTTAACTATGTCATTTCACTATTATATTAATTGTAATTACTATATTAATTATTTATCTTCTTTCACATTTTAATTTTAAATTTTTGTGTTGCCTTAAGTAAAGCAGCCTAGAAATAATTTTAATTGAGGCTCATTTAGACTAACAACAGAACATTTCTACCTAAAACTGATATTTTTCACACTATTTAAAAGGTAGACTGAGGATAAAATGTTTCTCTGAAACCTGAATCTCTCTTCTACTTCAGAAAAGAAGTAGCAGAAAGGAAGTGCATGAAATCTGCTTACTTTCTAAGTAGTTCAAGGCTTTGTATACTTGTCTAAATCCAAAAATATAGTATTGCTTCTTAGACTTTATAATACAGAAAAAGAAACTCCATTACCAAAATTAGGAAGGAAAAAGTAATTCTTTCTTTCATACAGGTCATACAGGAAATATATTCATTAGGGCTGAAAAATATTTCATGCTAACAGCAGACTGCCTAAGGCCATGTATGGTTCTGATGGGGTAAACAAAAATTTGCAATTTAATTTTATGTTAAATTTTATAATCTAGAGATATCAGTCTGTGGAGTAATTCTTATGGTTCAAAGTTAGTTTTTCAATGGCAATCTCCTCATTGATTTTTTGAGCTTTCCTTTTTAATAGCAGTGCCTAGTGGAACTGTTATAGTTTGAATTATGTTAAAATAAGTTTCCATTATGAGTTGCAGTATTTATTTACAAAAAGTAGATCAAATCTGACTAATGATATCTTTCCTTGATAAGACAAAAAATTGGTTAGGCAAAGAAAATTCAAATGCCATCCATTTAGACATTAATAAAGTATTTGATGTTAACCCACCTGGGAAACTACTAGTTAACCTGGGGAAGACATATTTAAAAAATGAAGGAAAGAAATGACTAATACTAACAACAGGAGTAGGTCTGAAAATAGAAATTCTGGCACTTGAAAAGGTAACTACAGTCACTGCTGGTCATGGTTAATGTTTTAAATAATGACTTTGGAATAGAAAGTGGTTTATGACAATAGTGTAAAATAATCAAAAAACTACACCTTGTAGACTGGAATTTGCTGAAAAAGAGGAGGAATATAATTATATACAGTGCAAGTTGATCTATTTGTACACAACTAAGGGCTTCAACAATAAGTACCTGGAAGCAAAGGAGAGGTCTGAGCTTACTGTGTGAGCAAAATACAACTATAAACATCAAAAGTAAATATAGCTGTGGACAAGATAAAAGCAAGAGTTATTTCCAACAAAAAGCAGAAGGGTGTAAAAATATTGTGTACAAATCTCTCACCTACTTGTCAAAAAAAGGACATGCATTCAACCTGGAAGATGAGTAGAGTATGGAGAGCCCATAATGCAGAAGGAAAGAAGGACAATTCTAAATCCTTTTTAGCTCTGAGAAAATTGTACACATGAAGAAAGCAGTACATTATAGAGACACTGATTTCAGCAATAGGGTAGCAATATTAATATATCCAGATTAGGATCTAATTTTCCCTGTACAATAGAAAAATCAAGATAATTGAATGAGAGGGATCATTGACCCCTATTTACTTTCCCTGACTCAATAGGAATCTTACTGACCCCTAGAAACACATTTTATTTTCACATCTCTGATGCTTGTACATTTTTTCTTTCCTGTGTAACTCTTCTTCCAGTTCCTGTGAAAAGTAGTCCACATAGCTTTGGTCTACTGTCTGCACAAAAGCAAATCTCACCCTAATGTGCAGTTTAATTCAGCGTGCCTTAACCTTTTCATGTTTACTCATCTATAATAATATATTCCTCAAAGATGGCTTGTGATGTTTTATGTATTTGGGGAATATAAATTAAAAAAAATACCACCACACTTTTGAAGACCTCTAACTACTCCTATAAATAGTTGCCTGACAGTATGCACAAAATGCAAGCTTTAATCAGTGAAAATTGCATATTTTACATTCAGCATTTGATCCAGGACAGCAAAAGCCAAAACTTCCTTATTTAACCTAAGGTAGCTCTGTTTCTTTTAATTTACATTCAATTCCCATTGTTATGTGGTCTAGTACCCTCTTCACTTTCATGTTTAATCTTCTTGCTAGTATTTATTATTACTCCTAGATCACTTTCTTACTTTTTATTCTCTTTCTGCTCCACCAAGCACAGACTTTTATAATTTAATTGTGTAGCTCAAGTACTTGAGTTTATATTTTGAGATACTAAACTACGTTTAGGACTTGTTTTCTCCCTTCCTCAATCAATTGATAATAGTCTGAAATTGATTGACTTCTGCAGCTGTATCAATAGCATTTTCTGTTTAGAAGTGTCAGCAAATTGTAAATACCCAGCAAAATCTTGCTCTCACTAGAGAAACATAGATATTAATTTAGTGCCAGTACTGAAGTGGGAGTGAATGACCTCAGTGCGTTACCTCTGCTTCAGCTTGAGACAATAAACCAAAGTCTTTGATGTTTTCCTCAATCTCAATAAAGTTTTAAAACCTTGATAAATGTATCTCCTGGAGTTTACAATAAAATTCAGGAAAATCAACATACATACTCTCAAGTTTTATATAAAACTTCCTACACAATTTCATTTTGTACCATGAATTCTATGCCCTGTATATCAATGTCAAGCAATTCTGTTTTATAACACACCATAATGTTTTCCCTCCAATTTATGTTTAAAAAATAAAATGGTGGTCATAAACAAGGCAAAGACAAGAAGGAGAATACAAAGAAGATGTTTTACCTGTCTCAGCAAAACATTACTAAGAGACAGTCTGCTCCTTCTGCAATGCCAACAACAACTAGTTAGAGTGTTTCATCCCCACTTAGGGGAAAAAAAAGCAGACCAAAAATGCATGTTAAACCTGCCTTCTATATAAATTGTTTCTCCTTTGAGAACTCTTTACATAAAATTATTCTTGAAATGCAAGTTTTGGATACTGAAGTCTTCATCCAGTAATTTGAATCCATGGATGATTTTCAGAGAAACTTGTTTGACAATAACATTATTTTTTCCATAGTTCAATGTATAATACCAGCATGTATCGATTTCACAATTATTTTTCCTATTTTCCTTGTGCATATACAGCTGAAATTCAAGAAGAATGGATCAACCACAAATGCCAATGACATTTAATAGCTGGGCTCATTTCAAAGCTGCAAAATCGATCATCTTCAGTGGTCTCCTCCTTCTTCATCTCTGTCACTTCTGACATTCAAGAATAATGGAAAATGGGCCATTGATAGTAGAGCTCAGTCTAGGACAAGCTAGCATCCAAAAAATGCTGATGTTGTTGTCCCACCTACTTGATTTAAGACTGGGTTTTGCTACTGCAAATTCGGCATTTCCGCTCCAGCTGTTCGTTAGAGCCTGTGATGCTGTAATTTACCAATACACTCTTAGTGCAGTGCAATGACTCATTATAAAGATATATTTTATTGTCACCAAAGAGAACAAAATGGTAAAAATAAAACAAAACCAAAGGACATGGACGGCCAAGTGCCAATGTGATTTTTCAGATTATTCTTTATAAGAGATCTGCTTTTTATCATAGTCATAAGCGAGGATATAATTGTCATATTAATCCTTGTTCTGGCAAAAGTTACATCTCTTTCCATTTCCAAAGGTGACAGAAAACCTGCCTTCCATCTAAACAGTATAGTTTCATGAATAATTGGTTTGCACATTTAATCTGATAGTGGAAAGATGAATATGAATATCCTGCTTATCTTAAATGTAAAATGAAAAACCTAAATCTGCTTTCAGGTTAAGCATTTTTTTAATAGTTCCATTGTCTCACATTCCTTCTGGTAAAACTTCATCATTTATTCAGTAACTCAGGCGTTTCCAATGCATTAATTTTGTAGACTGTAACCTAACAGACAGCCCTTATTTTGTGAGTATAATATTCCTGGCACATACTGTAATTATCTAGCTTCTAAATAAGAAAGAAGTAAGACTTGAAAGCAGAATCAATTGATTAATGTAAGAATTAAACACCACATTTGAATGAATGTGTCTTTTATCACCACAACCTGATGCTATATAAGTAATTTTGCTGTCACTACATTTAAAAGTTCTATAAAATATTTGAAATAAAATTTTAAAATCCATATGCAAAATATGAGTTTCAAAGCACATCATCAATAGTAATTAATTCACAATCCCAGGACACAGATAAGCAACTCCTACTGCTTATCTTCTGGTTGTTCTATCCTTAATGTACAGCTGCCATGGACTGGTATCATTCTTAGCTGACAACTAGCAGACAGACTATGCATCAGTTTTATAATGTAGAAGGCAGTGAGAGAGCATTTTCTCTGAGATCAACAAACTGTGTCTTTTTCTAAGGCAAATTAGGCAAAGTAGGGCTTTTGTTTGTCTTAGGTTTCTAAGTTCTCTGTTCCTCAGAGAACACTGAGGAAAAAATGAGTAGACAAGGCAATGAAGTTAGGCTGATTTAATCAAGATCACAAGCTGCTCTTAGACCTTGAAATGAACTTCTCTCAATGAAATGGTCTGTAAAGTAACAATATACTACAGCGCAGTGAATATTTCATTATTTAAAGTCTAGTTCAAAATTTCCTTTTTTTTTGATATTTGTATGTGTTATGAGAAATATTTCTGAAAACAGAGGCATTTACTCCCTTATAATACAAGCACGTGCAGCTCATACTTTTTTCATATTGAGGGTAAGATATTTGCATCTTCCACAGGAACAGCAAAATTGACTTACAGTGTTGCACAGTAAGTTATTCCTCTCGTATGAAAATATATCTTTTACTTTTAATAAAACCATTGTCTTGTGTAGAAAACCAACTCTATTGCAGCCAAAGAGGTGCATCATCTATAGAATAGGGTTAAATAATTTCTTGTCTATTATAGTGTATAAAGAAAAAATGGTTGCTACCTTCTCTTTCAACTTCAGAAGAAACAACATCCGGCTTTGATGCATCAGTTTAGCTATTTAATGACAAGCAGAATATATACTTTTCCTCCTTTTCTCAGTCTGTTTGTATGTCCCAGAATATTCACATTGTTTCCTGAAACTGTATTAAGGGTAAACAACTTTAGCTTTGTCATTATGCTTTTCTTATGACAGCCATGGAAGGACTCAGTCTAATCTCATCACCTTGTATTTATCAGACTACTGAAAGCTCTGGCACAGATTTCTCTTGGTCAACCAAGTATTAATTTAAACCACTACAGTCACGGATGTGCAAAGTTTAGGTGTCTCCTTTTAGGAGGACTAAATGATCTTTTGAATGGAGAAATAGCTATATTAAAAGTAATTCTTACTGTAGAAAAGTTGGAGAAACAGTCAGTAAGAGTGATGAAGAATAATGGGAGCAGTGGGGAGAGAACAGCAGCAGCAGCAGAGTCGCCTGTGGAAGGGTGTGGATTGGTGATAGCACAGGGTCAGGCAGAGGACCCATCTAATCCACCATTCTGTCTCCATCACTAGCTACAAATAGATACTCAGGAAAAATAAGAACAGTAACATATGGTACTTCCTAAGTATCAACATTCAAATTCACATGTTTAAATAAGGAAAATGATGACTAATGAAGCCCTAAATCTTTCATGGTTTATAAAAACAATACAGTCCAGAAATTTTTCTAAAAAATTACTTTGTCAAGACATACTTTGAAAAAACCCAAAGTGTTGCTTTCTGAATTTCCTTACATTGCCATCACAACTATCAGTGCTGAATAAAATCCAAGAGTATTGAGAGAGAGTGGCATGTTGGAGGGCCAATTACAAAACTAGCAAACATAAATCCTGATCATGAAAATAGATCAATGAGGCTTTTCTCACACAAGTCAAATGGACAACTGGGACCAAAGCTGGAAAAAGAGCTGCCCAGCAACAGTTCTCTGACCTGAAATTTCTTTTTGTTTTTGGACCCAGACTTAAGAAAGAATTGGAAAAATGCAAAGATGATAGTTGGGAAAGTGTCTGTGAGACTCTTCAAACAGAAATTGAAATTCTGCAAATGGTATGCCATTTTCGTTATGTATTTTAAGCCTTTGATAATTTTAGTTTTAAAGGTGTAATTTAGGATGATTAGCAGTGGCATTAGATAAGCATTTTTTTATACTGTGTACACATCTAAACATCCTCACATTATAGGCCCACTCCAATACTCATTTCTTTTGGTTTATTTTCAAATGTTCAATAATATAATTTCTTACAGAAAAAGAAATTTACAGAGAAGAGACAAAGATAAAAAGATACAAAGATTCAGTTTTAGCCCAAAAAAAGATGTATTTGGGGGACTAATACAAATGATTAGTTTATTGAAAGCTGCATAAGATTATGTATTTTGGAGCTAAACTAATCTTTACTTCCAGCTGCCAGTTAAACGGAAGATGGGAATATAGAGAAATAGGATCCTTTTATTTAGTACTTTATTTTGTTCACTCTCAAATTCCCTACAAAAACTTACTAAAATGTGTTTTTCTCTAAATGTCAATTCTAACTTCAGATTTCTTGATTATCAGTCTGTGTAATAATACAAAGAGAAAAAATATTTTGAAGTCCCATTTGGGAAACAAAAGGGGTTTAGAGGTTCATCTCAGAGCCCCTGATCGAGCTGTGTGAAGATGCAGCTGCCACTACCATCAATAGCAGAATGACAGTCATGAGAAATTTGTATTTCTCACTTTTATAATCAGTTCCAAGTTTCTGTTGAAGTAATATAACTTGCTTGTACTTTATCTGTTAATTTTATAATTAATTTTTTCAGAAAGAAAGAAAAAATCTCAATGTTTAAAAATTTCTCTGTAAAAAAAAAATACAGAAGTCATAAGATTTCATTATCTATCATTCAGTTCTTTCTCTTTTCCAGAATTTGTCACAAAAGAAGTCTTCAGGCAAGTGAATAATATGTGACATGTGATATGGAGTGTCACAGAAGCAAGTCTGAGTATTTTGAAACTATTTTATTCAGGGTCTATCAGATTTGCATCTATTTTTTGTTTGTTTGATTCACAGTTTGTATCTGCTTTTACTTTTTATTAAAATTAAGTTTTATTAATTTAAAAGTGATGGGGGGATTGTGTTTTATCCTCAAGTTCAACAGCCATCCATCTTCATCTTCTTGTTTGTGGCCCATGGATCACAGTGCATGGTCCACTACACACAAAGCTCAGTTCCTGTATTACTGGCTCTATTCTTTATGTATTATTTTTTCAAATGAATGGTCTCCCATTTCTAGAGGGAATGGTATTACAATCAGAAAATGTTAACAGGAGCTACAACTGTTTAGTTTATGACTCAACAATGCAATTCCATAACGAGCTCTCTGAAACAGCTCAGCTCCAGCAATGCTGCTTGACAGTCCAGAATAGTTTCCAAACTACTGAGCTGTGGATGCCTCCATTGGTGTTAAGCCAGTCCATTTCTTAGTGCTTGCTTTCTGATTACATGAGAAAATCATCTTTTCTTCCTCTCCCACAACTCACAAAATACTGAGCGCTAAATTCAGCACTTGAGAGCAAAGGTAAAACCTTGCACTAGATGAAAAGTCCACATTTCTAGAGAATGGTGAAGAATTTTAATTGAATCAGGATCCCTATTCTTTCAAGCATGTAGGATGTATAACTCTACAGCAGTTCCCAACTCACAGTAGGAACTGACTTAATCATTCAGATGCTTAGAATCAGACCATGTAAAAACATTCACTCTGCTCAGCCTCAGTCCACTCTGTGGGCATCACCTCCTCACATCTCCTCTGCGTGCAGATATTTTTCAATGTGCTTCTCACCTGAGGGTGGGAAAGGTAGTTGCTCTTCACTAGTTTTTCTACACCCAGAGCTCTTCAGGCTACAGAGGGTGTTTGTCACACATAAAACTGCAGAAGATGTTTTATTAACAATTTAAATATTCATGTTTATTCAAATTTAGAGTTCCAGTTGCAAGTTCAGTTGTGTATGTGTGTGGTTTTTTTATGTTGTGTGTGTGTGCATGAAAGTCTGTGAAGGTCTGACTTCTTGATTATTGTAGTAGAACTACAGCATAAATATAGCAAAATTTGTAATAACCCAAATGGCTGGAGCTTTCAGAATCAATATAAGAGAAAAAACTCCAAGAATAAGGACCACTAAAAAAAGTGCAACAGAAATCAATACAAATCCTATTGGGCTAAAGAAATCCCTCAACAGCTCTGGAAAAAAGTATAATGCCAGACTAAACCAGCTGTTGCTGGTTTCTAATACTAATTTCTCCAAGTATAAAAATACATTTGTTGCCACCATCTTAAAAATAATCTAATTCTGGACGAATATAGTACTTCTATTTTGGAAGACCAAACTAAAAATTAAGCAAAAAATTGTGTTTGTAGGTTTTCTTTACAATTCTCAAACTGGGGATGAGTAATCTTTTAAATAATGACCGCAAAAGAACCAAATCCTCTGTGATGTTTGATAAATATGTTAAAAAATGTTGCCAGATTACCAAGCAAATACACACAGAGTTATTATGAATAAATGAATTGTTTCATAGATGACATAATAAGAATATACTTTTAAGGTTTTATATTATATACCTTGCATATGAGAATCTAACAGAACCTCAGAGGATGTATTTGTACTGTCTTAGGAGAAAAAAAAAAGATGAATTAGAGCCATAGAAATACATGAAACAGCTAGTGAGAAAGAGGAAGATGGTCCAAGCAAAACATTATTATTCTAGACGGGGGGAAAAAAAGACATCAGGAAAACTAGCAATGCTTCTGTATTGGACCTGGGAACAGTTTCTTCTTAGGAGCAACAGATAAAACTCCCCTGTGTGTGAAGAGAGATAGAGAAATACTTTAGATTACTAAATTTGCCTTTTAAGAGATCTGGCAAGCATCAAGTCCTGTCTCCTTCACAAAAGAACTTGTTGAAGTGCAGTTTTACCTCAGGCTTACATATGAAACCACAGCTACCACATTTTCATATTATTTTATTCATTAGTATTAACAGCTGTTTCAAAGACTAACAAGAAAACCACTACAATACCTGACCACAGAATGAAATTACATTAGCTAATGCAACAGTACCCACATGAATTATCTCTAATTGGTTGACATAGATATGACTGAGTTGCTGATAGTGACAAATTAGTGCCATAAATGAAAAACAGCAAGAAAAAAGAATAAGTCATTAAAAAAAAAAAAGTATCTGTAACTGAATGACAGAGTCAGTGAGAAAAATTTCATATGTATGACATGGGGCAAATATATCAATTGAGGTCACATATCCTTGTTCAGCTGACCTGGCTTATGGGGTCCTCAGTCACAGAGGGAAGTGACTGTCTTCAGCTACAGAGCTGGTTGCCTGCATAAAGCTTGGCAGTTTGGCAGTTGACTAATCTAAAAAAATTAGACACAGAGGGAAAGGGATATTTCTTTTTAAAACCTGTAACTAAATTACATACATAGGTCAAAATGGATGAGAAAAGTACCTGCAAGGCAAGTACCTGCAAGGCCAACCCCTGCCACAAAGGTGCAGTGGGGAACCTGAGAGCACAGATCCTAAAAGAAGGGATAGCAAGGGAAGGCCCAAAAGAAAAGCCATGTTTCAGCACTGTCTCCATAGTTAAAGATGCCTGACGAGCACCACTGCTTATTTGTAGCAGATCCCCCTTGTCCTTTGACAGAGAAAAGAGCACTGCTTTTGGATTTCCCATTCACTACATTTCTGCTGCAGATTCAATCGAATGTGGAGTGTTATGTCTTATTATATCATGACAGTTAAATACATTAGAATTTTGAGGAGCTCTGTGTGTGCATCTGTGTGTACCTGTTTGGCTGCTTTCTGCTGTGATACCATACCAGCCAATCTAAATGAATTTGGATGAAACAATGGGTATCTCTCTATATTGTCATGCTGGTGCAGGTTTAAACTCATCCTAACTCAGTACTCTTGCTCAGGTGGAGAGTGAACCAACTGCCTTAAGACAGTCATCTTCAGTTTGATAGTGGTTTGTGACACAAGAAAGGATTTTCCCACTGACTGAGCAGAAGTAAGAGAGAGGGGCCTGTCCTGAAGCTTATGGTAAGTGAAGAAACCTCCAGGTGATCTCCATGAGAAAGATAGCAGGTTTAGCAGCCAAGGATGACAGTGCAATTAACTGATACTGGGTAAAGAGGACTAGGAAAATAGTTCCAGTTCTCTGCTCTGAACTGAAATGTGGTGCTACAATATGGCAGCTGGGTAAAGGATCACATTCCATGTCTAATGACCTATGTCTTGCTTGTCAATAGAGTACTTGAGCAAGTAGTAGCTCTGCTTCCTTTATTGATTGCAGCTGATGTGTAGTGCTCACATTGTAGTGATAGCCCAAACTTCCAAATTCCCATTATTTCTATTTTTCTGCTTAGGATTTCCAAATTCCCATTATTTCTATTTTTCTGCTTAGGATTTTTCAGCCCCTTATTCAACTGACTTTTGTAATGATTTTGTTGTTTAGTTGGTGAATTTTTGTGGCTGATTTTATCAAGTTTTTAGATGCATTTTTTTATATTCTACACCAGGCTGCTGTTAGTAGCCCTTTGAGTAGCAAAGCATCTATATTCTGGGCTAAAAACCAATTATATTTAGCAGTACCTTCTTCTGCAGCACAGTTTTCACCTGGCTCACTAATAAACCTCTGAAAGCCTAAACTGTCCAAGACACTTAGAGACTCTGAGTTCCAAGGAGGGGACATGCCAGCTCTGATTCTCTGAAGGGCCAAACTCAAAGCACATCCAGACACTTGCAGTCACCTTGCTACGTGTAGGGTCTGAATGAATTTTCAACATGAGATTGTCATCTGCAGGAGGTTTTTATTTCCTTTTTTTTTTTACTAAAATTATATCAGAAAACCTAATACTTTCAATTTTGAGACACTGAGTGTGTTACACTACAGTATAGATCCTCTCCGTTTCTTCAACCAGACCTATACAGTAATTCCCTGATTTTATCAGTTTCACCATTCATATGGTAACTCCCACAAATAGGGCAGCCTGAATAGCTGAGGATCTTAAAAGTTTTGAGGGAAATGTGAAGTGGGAGCTGATTCCTTTCTTCCCACTTAATGCCTTGAGTATTTAAAGGCAGCACCTTGTCTGGAAAAAGTAGCTTTAAAGTTATCAATTTTACCTGTAAATAATTTATTATACAGATGAAATCCTAGAAAAAGAGTCTTTATAAATACACAGCGTATTTCTTGGGTTTTACTGAAACAATAATTCCTGCTACTGTGTATTAATGAACTTGCAAGCATTTTTGATGCCATGTCCTAACTGAGAGAGGAGCTCATAGCCTCTATTTCACTTTAAAAGAAAGAGTTGCTGTAATTTATTCAACTAAATTTAGTCTAGCAGGAAGATAACAAAGCCTAGCCAGCAATCAAACTATGGATTGGAATGGTGTTCAGCTCCATATTCTAAGGAGCATTTGATATAATTTGGTACTGATTAAGTTCCCTTAAACAAAGTCTCCAAATATTTAAGTGCATAAAGGTAATGAAGATCATCATAAACTAGACAATGAAGAGTAGATCGTGTACAGTAAACAGAAAGAAAACCCATCCTGTATAATATCAGAATTTTATGTCCCTTGGATTCTTCATACTCTGGTTCATAAATTCTTTTAGTCTTGATTAAAAATGGATAATCAGGCTGTCGGTCAAAGTGAGAACGTTTCTAAGGGGATGTTACAGTGCCATCTAGTGGGGTTTTCATGTTAAAAAAAAAATCTTCCCTCTCGTATGAGAATTTTTACTTTATAATCAGAAAACACTTTTTGCTACTGCTACATGCTTCATTTTTCTTCGCTTTTATACATAATTATGTTGGATATATTACCATTAAAGTACTAGTGTTGATTTTTCTCTCAGACCATACTGTGTAAAATAGACTAAATAAATTTTGTCTGTAAAAATAGACTAAATATCACACAGTGAGGAATATACTAAACTACATTGCATACAAGGAGGAAGCACTATTTTCTGAGTCTGAGACCAATAGTTTA